AGATCACCTCGGCGTCATGATCAGGACACATGGCACCTCGACTGACACGTCGGAGTCACCTTAGCCACGTATTGGTACTCAGAAAATATATCCCCACAAGAACACCTCGTAGTATTTTTTTGCATAGGCCCTAAGGCCTTCATCCTTACTGATTCTTAAAGCCATCAATGCGTCCACCCTTAATGGTTGCAGCTTGTTTGTTACGAACTTGGCCACAAACATCTCGGCCAGGCTTTCCCAGGTCTTCACACTTCTCTTTGGTAGTTTGTGAAACCAATCTGATGCAATCTCCCCGAAGGATGAGGGGAACACTTTGCAGAGCAACGGCTCGTTCCCACTATACAATGCCATTGAGTTCAAGTATAATCTAACGTGAAAGTTGAGGTCTGACTTACCATCGCATATTCGGAACCTCGGCATACTGAATCTCTCCGGCGCTTCAAATTTGTCTAACTCCACTGAGAATAGTGTTCTCGGCTTAACATGTGAAGTTACCTCGGCAGCGGCATTATGTTGTTTCCTCTTGAGGTAATCTCTCAAGTCTTCTTTGCTCCGCCCAGGAGCTCGGTTATCTCCCGACTTCAGTCTTTTCAGCATACTACTCTCAGCTTCGTTGTAGGCCTTTTTCAACATTTCTCCATGAGTTATGTCGAAGCACAACTCCTGCCTTTGAACATGCCGATGTTCTCTGGGGTCTGCTTCTTTAGTGCGATGTGTCCTTCGTGACTCTTCTCTCCACGACTCTCCTCGCCCGACCTCCCTGGAAGGCCAGTGAGAGTGTTTTTCGCTTCTGGTGTGCTGAGGGGCTATTGGGATTAGTTTCTGCCCTCCCTTTTGGGCATTGGCCGCTGGAATCGGCGTGTCCTGCAGTGGGAATAGTGGCTGCATAACGTTATTATGCATCATAAAATTGACAACCGATTGTAGGTCTGCCAACTTGTTTGTCATCTCTTTTACCTCTTCGTCCCTCCGCAGGCACCTATCCTTCCATGCCTGGAGGTCGTCCTCGTTGTAGTATCCACTTTGATCTGATTTTTTTGGTACGTCGCTATCCTGGCCGACGTCTTTCTTGCCGTGATTCTGGTTCTGAGTCTCCTCATTGCGACCATCTTCCTCCACGTTTGGGTCAACGTGTTTACCACTCCCAGCAGGGATTTCGTCCCCAACCTTATCCTTCTGTCCGTCACTTGGCCATCTATTCTTCTTTCTTTCCCACAGACGGCGCCAAATTGTGGGAGTGATTTTCCGATCACACTGCCCAACTCAGTATTCAGCTGGAGAACACTGGCAGAATAGATGACACCTGGCTAATCTGCAACAGAAAGAAAAGATTCCGGCGATGGTTCGTCCACCCGGGGGCACTCCGACGAGTAAGTCAGTATATCTCTTAAAGATAATCAATAGTGCAAATCTCACTGCTCAGAATATAAATTGCGTACTTTAGACCCACGGGGGTGCCTCTCTTTTATAGCTAACTCAATCCTTGTCCCAACATGAGCCTAGTTCTAATGGACTTAGGATTACTATTAGTCTTGGACTCCCAGTAGGATTGGGATAAACTCCCTAAGAGCCTTATCATTTCCTAACTGGAGTCTTCCCCCTTTCTAGGACTCTTGTGCCTATCCGCTTATCTCGGATTTCGATATTTTCGGAGGTAACCTCGGCCTTGTTGAGATAACCTTGGCGTCATGACCAGGACACGTGGCACCTCGGCTGACACATCGGCATCACCTTAGTCACGTGTTGGTACTCAGAAAATATATCCCCACAATGATAATATTATATTATATAAACAAAATTATTATATAGAAATTTCATATAGAATAACACAATTCATTTATGTTGGGGAGTTTCTATTTACACCATTAAAATTTTTAAGACTCTTATTTTATGCATTGTAATACTTATACTTTATGAAGAAATTGCTCATATGGATTAAAAAAAATATTAATGAAGTATGTAATTAGAAGCTCCATTATACTGTTTAATAGAAATTAAAGGGTAAACTACTAATAGGTCTTATTGAAAATAAGTCTTGGTAAAATCGTAGTTAAAAATAATTTTTTGTGATAATTTTTTATATATGTCGCTAAAAATTGACAATTAATGACTTTTTTTATCATAATTTTTATAAATTATCTCTAACATTTATAATTAGTAACCTTTTTTTATGAAATTTTTTCTCATAAGACCTATTAGACAATAAGACCACTTATTAGGACCTAGACGTAAGTACTCCGAAATTAAAAGCCTATTACTATGATTTGAAGTTGAAGTAGATAGTCACTTTTTTACTTTTTCAAAATACCCCCAAATATGATAACTACTCTAAATTGTTTCAATTTTTTTAAATACAACTATTTCAACTAACTGTCATAGTTATAAAATCTAATTACTTCAAATAACTCTTATTTTTCCTTTATTAATATATATATATATATATGGGGAAATTGATAAGTGGAAGAAACAAAATGCTATCAATAGGAAAAACAAAGTGTAGCTTACAAAATAAGTGGGTTGTTTATTATGGTAGAGAAACCATCAAAGTTTTAAATGGTAGCACAAGGCCAAACAATTTGATTGGGAATTAATATGTTTGTAATCTAGTGCTAAAATAAAAAAGCTCACTTTGTCCCCTTTAAACTCATCCTCTCTCATTGGCAATTTGGCTCTTGATTGGTTGAGTAAGACATAGGTTAGGGGGAAAAGAACAATGAGTAGATTACAAGGCATGGTATCAAAGTCATTGATTCTTCTAATCCTCTCTCATTGGGTTTTGATTTGTTTGTTCAAAACCATTGCACCAAAAAGAGATTGATATCACTATGGTCCACAAGCCTTGTAGCTTAATTCTCATTTCTTTAGTTTCTATTTGATAAGTTAGGATTGATTTATAAGATTCAATTCTCATTTCTTTAGTTTTTATTTGATAAGTAAGGATTGATTTATAAGATTTAAGCACAGAACTATATATGTTCACAGTGAAGGGACATGACCTCTTCAAATTGTGAAAAATCTTATTATGGCTCTATTGGCTTTCATCTTTCACAGGTTGAAACTCAATTTTTTGTTGACCTCCGTTTGGGAAGTGGGTTGACTTTTTGATTTTTTAACTTTTTTGGCTATTTTAATCTGGGCTAAAAAGTTTGGTTTGGGAAGGACTTTTTGATTTTTTGACTTTTTTTTGTGAGAGAAGAATGTAATGATTATGAGTTTGATATGATATTTTGTTTTTTATGACTAAAATAGCTTATTTTATCTTTTGTGGTTAAAATAACCAAAAAAAACTCTGTTTAACTCTTGCCAAACGGAGAAATTCGACTTGCATGTGTTTAAGTATATAATTAGTGTTTTTCTAAGATCAAACTCTTCTTTCAAGAATGATTGGGCCCTGTAGTGGTACTGATGAACCGAGCATATACTACTTCCCAATTTGGATACTCTATTTGTACTCAAAAAATAATTCAGTACACTTAATTAAATTTTTAAAATTTTAGTTCATATTATATCCTAATATAAATTTACTAATAAGGACAACACATATTAAATTTTAAAATAAAATATTATTTTTTGTTCTCATGGTATATCCTAATCACTTATACGTATTTTTCGTATTAAAGTTTCTTCATATTATTCCCAAAGTTTCAATTATTTTCTCTTCTTCTTCTTCTTCCTCACTCCAAAACTCCAATCCACCCACTAAAACTCACCATTATCATAACATCATTGTTTCTTATTACATTATTATTTGTAAATAGAAAAAAATTTAAATAAAATCAAATAATCAATAAGAATAATAATCGAAACTATTTTCTGCGGTGCTTCTCAAAATGGCTAAGAAAAGGGAAGGGAGAATATTTTTGAATTGATTTTATATTAAGGTTATTATATAGGTGTGCCGTAAAATTAAAATATTATATTATTTAAGAGTAATTTATAAGAAAATATAGAGTGACACGAGAGCCTAATCATGACGTTTTAAATTCCTCATTGCTACTATTTTTTTATTGACCAAAATTATGTTTGTAATTCATCTTCAGCTATCAATTCTTCTCCAAATTTATTGATAATTAGGGTTTTACAGTAAGGGCATCACAGCTCCACCCCAAATATATCTTTTGGAAATGAAGATTGAAAAGGAATGTACCTATTTGGGATGTATTAGAACAAAGTATTTCGTCAAAAATTAAGAATGTATTTAAATTTTAAATTTCTGAACAGAAAAAAGAAAAGAAATGTTCTTGTTCTCTGTTCTTTCATTTCCCCCCATAAATTCCTTAATAAACTTGAATTAAAACATTACTTAGGCCTCTTTTGACAAAGAGATTAAAAGCAGTTTTTTGATTTTTAACCTTTTTTTAAATCACATCACTTTTTATTTTTTTTTACATAAAAAAATAAAATAAAATAAAATAAAAAACTAAAAAGCTAACTTTTAATCTACCTCTCAAAATCATCCTTAATTGTACCTTTTAGAGCTGGCAATAACTTTAGCACATTTCAAGAGGCTATTCCATGCATAATTTATGCCTAGCTGACTAATAATTATACTTAATCAGGACACAACAATATTGAAAGTGTGTTGGAAACTTTTCTCTCTTTTTGATCCATCATCTCATACCACTCAGCTAAACAAATCTTAGAACACTTTTGCAATAACACAACCCAACCAAAAGCACTTAGGCCTTTGCCAAAAATAACCTTAACATAAACACATGCAAGCTTAGAAAGATATTCTAATAGTTTTTCACACGATACCTCCGTACTTATTTGGATTCATGACATCTAAGTCACAATGAAATAATCTTATCGTTAGAGCAAGACCCACCCTCTTACATGAGTTAGATGATAAAATTATTAATGACGCGTTTGAACAAACCATAAATTTTGTCCTTATTAAGCATTTTTTTTTTTTCTCTTTCAAAATCGTATTCAATACGTAAGATTCTTGCCTCATTTGTTTATGTGGAGAATGATTGTTGTAAGTTGAACCCTAGCCCTAACTGAGAAAACAAATAGCTCATATTGTCACATCAAATTTTCAAATATGTAGCCCACTAATCTAGAATTCTCAATAATTCACAATCTCAATATCTTCATTGCTCTGTTTCTTTTCCTGATTTGTTTTTCAACCTAACTAGTATCATACAAGGCAATTACGAGACTTTCTACACAAAAAACACATAGTACAGAAGACCAATTTACTGAAATTACAACCCTAGTCCTAAATCCTAGTGTAACCACACAAAAAAAAAAGAAGGAAAATAAACTACTAGATTTCTCATCTTCGCCGCACTCTCTTCCTCTCCTTCACCGTCGCGTTAGATCGTGGATTAGGGCCTCCGCATCCAACCTTTCCAATCCAACTAAACCCTTTGTTTCCCATCATTAAGGACTCCATTGAAGGTCTAGATTCAGCACTAAACCCTTTGTTTCCCATCATTAAGGACTCCATTGAAGGTCTAGATTCAGTACTAAACCCTTCGTTTCCCATCATTAAGGACTCCATTGAAGGTCTACATTCAGTACTACTCGGCTTGCCCGAAACAAAAATCTCAGCAGTGCTCGGCTTTTTACATCTTTCCACAGCATTTTCAACATTGCTTGGCTTTTTACATCCTTGTGGAGTCCCGGGACCCATATTTCCAGCATTAGGTAGTTTAACAGACAATTTCCGTTTACGAGGGCGGGCGCTACGAGGCTTTACTGGAGGATTACACCTCGGGAATAGGGGAAAAACAGGAGTGGGAGAGGGAGAGACTGCCCTGATTCTCGAGTCCTTGCAATGTTGTTGATACGCTTTGGTAACGATATCTCTGAGCAACAATGCAGTCTTGTACTCGCGTGTTCTTCTAGAGTAGAAGACGAGGGCATTGTTGGCGAGCAAAAGGAGGTCTCGATGTCACGACATGCTGCAGACACAATGGCGCAACTGGCAATCTTCGAACGTATGGTGTCCAAATCCACGTGCCGCCTTATAGTTTTCTTGTATCTTGCTCGCTTCTGTTATGCAAGATTTATAATGAGTTGATTTCAACAGATAATTACAGACTATGATGCACCGACACTCCAAAAGCAGTGTCTAGCAGTGTTGGACACGCGGACACGACAGTGACATATTGCAAATTTTATTAATTTACTTTTAAGGACTACGGCAATGACACATCAAGGACACGCCAAATAGTTTTTTCCCCCTTCTTCTTTAGTTTTTTTTATAGATGTTAGATGTTGAATACTAATTTCTTTCTGCTTAAATTTAAATAAATAATAAATCATCCATAAACAAGACATAAAGAAAAAAGTTAACTTGAGAGTGGATTTATTTATTTATTTGTTTATTTCAGGGCAAATTACACTAACCTCTCTTGAGTTTTGGAGAAAACACAGTAAGTCTTAAAGTTTGACATAATTACATAGGGCTCTCTTAAGATTTTAATTCATGTAACAATTGGTCCCCTTTTCATCATAAATTCATTACTAGTATGAATGAAAAAAATTATGTCATCATCTCTTTTACATTGAAATGTATATTTTACATTGTTTATATTTGTATTTTCATACCATCTGCATTAATTCCAATCTCTTTAACCTTACTAAAGGGATGTTAGTGTAATTATGTCAAAACTCTAAGGTTGTATATTTTCTAAATCTCAAGGGAGGTCAGCACAATTTTCCCATTTAATTTATATTTAATGTTAGTTTTAGTTAATTTTGATTTTTTTGATGTAATATTAATCTTTCATTAATTAATATTTAGTGTTAGTTTTAATTAATTTTGATTTTTTATGTAATATTAATCTGCATAGCAAAAAATATTATTTATTGTCATTGTTGTGTCCCCGCCGCATGCGGGTCCCCATTTTTTTTTTTTTTTTGAAATCACCGTGTCCATGTTTGTGTCTGTGTGCCTATGTCAATGCTTCTTAGATTACAAAGGTTGTTCAATTGTCAATTTGAGGTTACCTGGCTATCCAGCCGACGTCGAAAAACCAATGCAATCTCGTTCTCTGCAACAGAGTTAAAAATACCCATCAAATCATCATTTCCAGTCCCACACGAACCTCCATTGTGATCGTTTATACTGGATGATCTGACCGTTGGACCACAGTCGCCGGTTGAATTTTCCTTACACGAGGAAGCAGTAATAACATTGGTCGAGCCCAAATTCTCGCTATCTCCAATGCTCGCTTCTTTGGGTTCCCTATTACAATCCTTCCTCTTTCTCTTCCCCCTCCTCTTTCGTAGAGTCCTGCCTCGTTCATTGCCAGTCTCGACCAATTTCTTAATGCTTGAACATTTTTCCGGCTCCAACGATTCGGAAATTTCTGGCTTCGTATCAATCTCCGCAGCTGATGCTGTTGCCAGAATCTGATGTTCAGGCAACCAGTTTGTACTGATATCTTGAGTGAAACTGCTGGCAGATAGTCCATCCTTGGAGATATCCTTTCCAGAAGATTCTACTCCCTCAGATTTCACAATGGGTATAGGAGAATCGGTTTGGCTGGAGCCTACATCAACGTAGCCGCAATCTCCTTTTTCAGCCTTAAGACTTTTGAGTTTTGATTCGAGAGATCTGAAACCACAAAAGGTTGAGTCAGCAGCAAAAACAATGGGGCAAAAATAATGCATGCCATATGACTATACAAATTATATAGAATCTAAAAAGCAAATACACATGAGATTACACAGAAATGTCAATACGGAAATATTAAAAAGCCCTGAGACACCACATGAATGAACCGTGCAAAATATATAGTCTTTTGTATTTATTAGGTCATATATGGGGATAAACAATTATAATATGTCATTAATATGAATATTGAATTCAAAGATAATAAAAAAGAATGTAATGAAAAATTAATTTTTAAAGTCTACATAGATTTATATTGTTTTTCTTTTATCACTGGATTTTAAGTTATTTATTGAACTTGTAATGTGTTTCATGTGTGTTTAAAAGCAATAAACATGTGTGCTTCTCAAGTATTTGAAGCATGTTGAGCCTAGAAAATATAAAAATAATTGGACATGTTTGGATATGTGTCCGAAATTCATGGAGAAGTGTTGGATGAGTGGAGCATCATGTCACGACATGCTGCAAGTGTCCGTGCTTCTTAGCATGGAATACTAGAAGGTACAGTAACAACTCTGTAGGACCTACATGCCATGGGTCATTGTCTACGTGAAAAATATAGCAATCCATGGCTGTATTTCATTTTCAACAGAAAGGACGGACCTCAAAACTACTCTGAGCATCATGTCACGACTTAAATTTACAATCCGATTTCTTTTTCTTTCTCCACCAAATTTTACCGATCTAAACCAGTTCTGAAGCACAATTTCAAGTGCTTTAAACTTTATAAGGGTAATCAACTTGCAAACTAAGGGCAATAGACAAAAGGTCGATGCATCAGAATTCCAATAATCCTTCCTAGGGAGGCAGCTTCGACATAAAACAATAATTAAATTATCAACTGGGTTCTTGATGCATTACAAATTCGATGAATAATTTACTAACCCAATTGAGTCTTCAGATTTCTCCAATTCCCGCCTCAATTCTGCTACTCGTCTCTTTCGTAGCTCTTCAAACCAAGCTCTGTGCATTAAAAAAATCAAAGCACAAGAATGGGACATTTATCAGTGCAAGATTTGATAGTAAATATTGAAAATCCATAAGGTGAGAAAAAATATATTGCAACTTGTTAAATTTTCTGATGATATTAATGAACATTTACTATATGAATAAGGTTCGTACAATTCCAAAGAGAGATGAACCTGAAACAGCTATCTAGATAACAAGCAAAGAGAATTGTAAAATTTGGAAACCAGAAAAACCTTCATATCTGGCATTTCACATAGAAACCTCGTTGGTACCAATGAAATTTTTGTAATGATCTCCATCCTGACAAATTGAGACGTGTACTGTTCTGAGTGATGTAATTGTTATTGGGTTCCACATACTCATAGCTAGCTAAATTGCTATGAGTCCAATGAGAAAAGAAGGGGGGAGGTGGCTGAATACATAAAATAGAATTTTTGTACATGAGCATACACCTCGATGCGGTTCTGAAGAAAGAGGGTCAAGCTTCCATCAAAGCATATTTCTAGATTTAGTGTCTTAATGCAATATTAACTAGTGCATATATTATCTTAGTTACTTCTGATAGCAATATGAGCTTGACACTTGACGTGGTATGAAACTAACCTAGATAAAAAGACTTGGGTTGTGTTTCGATCTTGGGTTTTATTTCACACTTCTCTCCTATTTTCCTTTTTCTTTGCAAATTCTCATCTAAATCCATGATTCAAACACAACCTTAGTTATGAAGAGCATGAAAAAAAAAAATTTAAAAAAATATGGAATTTCACATAGAACACGTCTAGGTTGAAATTTTTGGAATAATTTTAACTCTTCTATTGTGTTTACTTTAGTTTATTATATTGTTGGACAGTAATTGTGTCATTAAATTAGGTTTAAATACTTTGGGGTAGCGTTGTAATGTCAATAATAACTGGACATAATTAGGAGTTATAGTTCATGGGTCATAAATTGGGTCAGGTAATGTTATTTGAATTTTATTTGGATACCTAGTTGATCAATATTCTTAAATTTTAAATTGGAATTTTAGTCATTATAGGAGTAAGAAAAGTCTAATAGCTTATAAATAGATATGTAATATTTCTTTTCAAGATATTATGAGAATTCCATATTGTGTTTGTGTGAATTTTCCTAACCCTTGCGAGGGTGAATGAGCTCTTTCCTCATTCACAATCCTGAAAAAGTGCACTTTTCAACCTCAAAACCCTATCCAATCAAAGCTTAAATCAACCCTAATTCATTCTCCTACGTATTGGTCTTCATTTAGTCATTAAAACCCTAATGTACTCAATGTTTAGGCCCTATAGTTTCTTCATGAAAATCTAGCAAACTGTCACTTGTAAATTAAAACCAACTATCACACCTATTCATCTCAAACCTTTAGAACCTTAATCCTACAAGCTTTCCATAACCAAAACACACCATAATGCTTATTGTATCTGGCAAACTGCCACTTTTAAAATCAAACCAAATATCAGACAATTTCATCTCAAACCCTAGAAACTTTTTTTCTCCTTCTCAGAACCCTAACCCTAGAAGCTTTTCATAATCAAAACACACCACAATTCCAAAAAAAAGAAAAAAACACGCCACAATTCCAATTGTAGGCAAAAATATAAAGCTGTCCTGCATCACTTAACAAACTGAGGTGGGCACACCACTTGGAGCAAATTCTTCCCCCGATCATACTTCATGCCACACCTCGATTCATCAAGCATTGTAACACCTTTTTTGGTTCCTAGTAACATTGAAGCAATGTTTTACATATTATGTATCCACTATTAATCCTCAAGTCACATGCACTATAGGCATGTTGAAGTACCACTACCATCAAAGCCAGCCCATTTAGTAAGAAAATATTTTACTAGTAAAGAATATCCAAAGTTCACATGCACAATGAGGCTTCCAGTCACTTAAAAAGATGATGATATGAACTGCCATAATTAAGTCCCCTGTTGAAATTAATTCAATTAGACAAAAAAAATGGTACTCACGTGCAGCCAGAATACCGTTGTTGCAGGTCCGCGTACTTGGCTTTACATGCCTGCAATACAATACACATACGGTTTTTGTCACTTTAAATGAAAAAACAAATTGAAATAAAAATTTGATCAACCATAACCTTCATTTACTGCATATCAATGAAAAACTCTTAATTAAATGGTCACAGCAGGGAAGCGACCCGAGCATATATAAATTACAGTGTGACAGAACTCTCACAGAGAGATAGAGGTGTATTTGTATTTCAAGAAAAGAAGGTATCATGTGATGTGCAACATTTAAAAACAATAACCACGGGGATCTAGAATCGGGATGGTTTGGTTACATTGCCTATGGCAATGCATTAAAAAAGAACAAAAAAAAGGATAAGGAAGAAGAGGGAGTATGCCAAAGAAGAAGGGCATGAAATGATTGCTACGTACACCTACTCTTAACCAGGTCTAGAGAACTCAAAATAGATACAATTAGTTAAGCTGTTATAAACCACTAAAATAAAATAGGGGTTTTAAGAGTTAAAGGTATTAAGGACAGATGCTATTCATGAAGTAAAACTAATTTAAAATAATATGGAATTTGCAACATTATTTGTTTAAAAAAAAAAAAAATTAGAAATAAGCAAGCCCGATTAGAAAGAAATTTGCAATCCTAATAACAATCATGTGCATGAAGATTACTGAAGTAGCATTGTCATGCTTTGGAGGAAAACCAAGGAAGAAGCTAGATCAAGAAACAAATGTGTAAAAATTAAGAATATATAGTCATCAGGGAACTGCTGTATGGTTCCCCACAAAAATAAATAAATAAAATTCTTCAAAACAAATTTGTGAATTTGCTTATAATAATGTAGTTACAATTTACGGCTAATATTTTGGGTTTATATTATTAGATTTTGATGATTGCTCACCACTTATACGAATAGTTTCGATTTTTAACTGTCCAAATCTTGAGACAAAGAGGCCCAACCTATAAAGCATTGACACTTCAAAATGGCTGTCATGACCATGTCAGACACATATGGGCCACTGACGCATTGGGGACAAGCACGTCCAAGTGTCACTTTTTTTAAATTATTATAGTATTAAATTTTTTTTTGCAAGACACTTTGGGAATAATTCACGGACACGTGTCTTGTGTGTGGACACACCTCAGAATACCATTGTAAGTTCCTTTTTTATAAGTTTAGAAAGTTGATTTGAGGTCAAAGAAAAATATGTGAAAACAAAGAGGAAGGAACGTGAAATAACATAAAAATACACCCACATATATTGATGCAATGATGCCTCTTATATCTTTGTGTCCTAAATTTATGCTCATATACATAGCAAATATATATTTATAAAATTTGTCATATCCCTACAGTATCTGTATCCTAATTTTTTTCAAAATTGTCTTGTCCCGTGTTCTTGTCCATACTTCCAAGTACTCGACTTTTTACTGATGACTAAACAAGCTTAGTGTAATTTGAATTAACAAATTATCTTTAAATATTATTTCTTCAACTTAAATCCTTCGCACTAATTATTCCACAATAGAGTGTTCACTTTCATCAAATAGCTAGCATCTTCGGTTGATTATCAATCAAAAGCAATCTCTGCACAAAGAAATCCACAATAACCAAACAAATTTTGGTCTCAAGTCACTTAACAAAATCTCAGCTCCAATGGAGCTCAAGTATATAAGTGTATTGAGCACTAAAAGGCCCTCAACTTTCTAGAAAGAAACAATCAAAAGTAATATCATGAGAGAATACAACCCGATGCAATATGCCATAGAAAACCTCAAAGTCTACAAGGTGTCCACTCATGTGAGGGAAAGATCATGGATATAGCATAAAAAAAAATACTACATATGAGCATGAGAAAAATAATATCTCGCTAGGAATGGCAACCGGGGCGATATTCTTAGTCCCTAACGGGACAGGTTCCCCATCAATTTTGGCTTTGGTAAAAATTTAAACTAGTTTTTAGTGACTAAATTTAAAGTTATCATACACACGTGCTAATTTGAAGCTGCATGTAAACTACACACTTTGCACAAACATCAAACAAGCCAAGAGATTTTCTTTTATAGTTGGTTGAATTCCTCATAACTTTTGTGTATAATTGATGTGGGTTTCAAATCTTTACTTGTCATTAAAATAAAAATAAAAATAAAAAAGATAAAACTTGTTTTTATAGAGTATGGGGGATGACTTAAGGCTCAACATCTAAGTAATGTGAGATTCATTAACAACATCATTTTGTTTGCTAAGTATATATTGTTCTTGTGCATAATTTGTGTTTGAAGATATAATGTTTTTTGAAGGATGCATGTAATTTTATTAACTAGGGACGAGAGCGCGGGGATATAAGGTAGGGGAGACCCATACCATTCCCATACCAAAATCAATCAAGGATGCAACATTAAATACCCTCAGGTGTCCTACAGGTGGAAACTAGGCAAGAACCGGTTCTATAGTGGCGGGGTGGGTTGGGACTCCACCGGCACAAGATATATTGCCATCCTTATAGCTCAAGCTATAATTGCCACCAAAATGCATGGACCCTAAAATTACAAAAAATTATTAGGTGAGAGCAATTAGGGGTGTACATGGGTTGGTTGGGTCAATTTTGGGAGAAATCATCTACCGAACCACTTTGGGCAAATTGAGAATTTTTCAACCCGTTGCCACATCACACATCCTCAAAATTGGCAAATTGGTTGAATAGAAACCAAAGGTTTGAGCAGGTTAGAAATACAAAATGGGAAGAATATTAGTGCAGATACAATTTCATTTATTATCAATTTTAAAGAAAAAATTTATCATTCGGAACACAAAACCTACTAATTAATCGAATGGATGATGTTAATCAAAACCATATTTCAAAAATTAATATACAAAACAATCAAATTAGAAAAATAAAATATGGATGAAAATGAGGGACGGATATAATCCAATTAATGGTATTAAAGTAAAGATTGTGTAAGCAAATGTAAGGTCGCTTTGGGTATACACATAGGCGGGTTGGGTTGGTTTGTGAGTAAGTTGACAAATTTTAATCTGCAATCTAACTTACTTGTCAATTTCTATCATCTAACTCACTCACCTTCTCAAACCACATGGGTTCGTGGTTTGGCGGCTTTTTGCACACCTCTAGGAGCAATACTTCATACCATTTATCAATTGAAACATCTCATGTTGTCATCTAAAACACCAATGCAAAACTAATAGACCCACTATCGAGACCAATAACTATCTAATTAAAGCACCACATAAATTTGTTATAAGAGCACAAAATAATTTCTCGCATGTTAACTTACGTGATTCAAAATTAATTCAATAGTCAACACACACTTAATATATAGAGAAAAATCAACTTTACCCCTTGTGATTTCAATAATTTGCACTTCACCCCTCTTACTTCAATAATAGATAGAAAGTCCCTTATGATTTTGGATTAAAATGCAATGTTAACACCATTAATGACAAACAATAAATGACCAAACTATCCTTCTATTTCGACCTATTTGATTTACTCTTTCTTTGCTAAGTTTTCGCTTAATTTCAAACTTGAGCAAATATTAGCTCAATTAAGCTTAAATTTAAGTAAAATACTAAGCTAATATAAAATTTAATTTTTATAATAATGTGCATAATTAACTAAAATACAATAATTACTAAATAGATATTAATTATATGTATAATTATGTTGATAATATTGTGTATTGAACATTTTTGGATGAAAAAAGATGAAGAAAGGGTTTTGGAAATTTTTGACTTTGTTGGAAGGCGCACGGTGATCACTTTATGTTAGCTTTGATGGATTTTTTAACGAAATGGAACAAAGTGCTAAAAGTCATAACCAATTTGCTTATTATTGAAGTAAAAATGACTTAAATCACAATGGGTAAAGTAAATTTTGATAATAAAAAAGTCTTACCCAGAATTGGGTACTAGAAAATTGACCCATAGAATAAATGGAGGGTTTAGATTCAAATGGTGTATTGTAAATCCATGTATAGATTAGGGTCTTGACCACACATTCATAATTCTAGGTATAAATTTGGGCACTCAGGGCAGAAGTCCATTTCTGAAACTTAAATCTTGTTTTGACCAAAAGGGCATTATTTGTCCACAAGGACACCTATATGTTCAAAGCTTACCTATCTGTCTATCTGTTTAAATGTCACTTAACCATACATGTCATTTATATATGCAACTATCTATTCAATTGTCTTACTATATGTACTTACTGTGAGAATACTAGATTTTATGTATATATGGAAATATATATTTTTTGTATATATTAGAGATTGAGTGAATAATTCATGTTTTCTTTTTTGTTCTAGGGTTAGATTGTTATATAAACCAATGTATTCTTGTATTACAAACAATTTGAATATACAAATTATTATTCAGAAATCTTACATGGTATTAGAGCTCTCTGTGAGCCCAAACCCTAAAAGCTGTCTTTGAGTCGTGACTCTCTCTGCGTGCATTCGGTTCAATCGAAGTCACGAGTGCCTCTTGCATCTTCTCATGCTTCTCATCTACTTCGTGCTTCGTGTCTCCTTTGGAATCACGATCATGAATTTTGGTCTTTCTCTCTCCAGCATCTCAACTTCTCCCTCTCTCTGGTTCGAAGAATCTCTACACGATTCTTGCGATCCAATTGGTTCGAAATCGCAAACCCTAGCTTCACGATTGTCTCTAGTTCGCAAAGCTCTAAGGCATGACATCTCTTCTTTCCTCTCTGACTCGCGATTGCTTTGGTCTTCTCTGGTTGGTGACTTTTCTCTCTTTGGATTCATGTTCTGCTCTTGGTTACTGTGTTTTATTATATATTTTGCTTGAAGCTCCGTATTGCTGGATATTACATTTTGCTCACAATAATTTCTAAATATTCTGATTTAATCCCATATATTACAATGTCGGACACTAAAATTCAAGCCATTAAATGCAAATTCACTGGTGGTAATTATGTCTATTGGGCTAATGTTATGAAGAATTTTCTCCTTGGTAAAAAAAAAATGAATTTATGTTTCTAGTTCTGTTCCTCTTCC